GAATATATATCATATAAATATAATAATAAAATTTGAAATATAATATATATATATTTATTTTAAATATTATAGAGAGGAATCAGTATGAATGCACGCGATAACGATTAGATTAGAATACGTCGACTGTTTTTCTGATTTTTTTTTTTCTTTTCTTCTTTTTCGTCGAACGCACGCCTACTCACGCGTATGAGAGACACATCTTGAATGCACGTGTATTTCCAAAAAAAAAAAGAAAATAATATAGAAACAACAGGAAGAGGTGGAGAAGAACAGTTAAATTGTTTTCCTTTTTCTTTTTTTTTTTTCTGACGATAATATAAACGTTGCTGATAAACTTAAATTAGATTAACTTTGTACGAGACTTATTTTCTTTTTAAAAGATATTTTATACTTTGAAATTCGTTTCGTTTTCATTATAATAATTTTTGTTTATTCTTCACTTATCTCCAATCGAATTTTCAAATGATATTTTTATGACGATAAGTGATTAAGTATACGTGCATTTATTTTTATTTACTCTTTCCATGTTTAATTATTTTGAATGTTAAGAATGTCTAACTCAAGGACCCACTTAGGACCCTCTTAAGCCAAGTATGCATGGATGCATTCACCTAACACATTTTGAAATATAAACAGTCAAAGATTTCTCAAATACTTTTGTTTATTTGTCAATGTTTTCTATTCAAATTTTTCGGACCTCGTTTAAATCTAATCTCGTTTTAATACAATTGACTTTTTATTCGATTCAAAATCGATTATTATTTGTATCCGATAGAAAAAAGTATGATTACAAAATACTCATCGTTCAGATTTTAGTTAAATCAATCTTATGGTAAATCGAAATTATTTAATATTCAAAAAGTATATGTTAATAGATATTTAATATTTATACTTTTGAATAATCTTAAATAGAAGTAGAGTGTGTATTAGATTATTAAAACAATTGTTAATTAATCGAAAGAAATGTATATTGTTGTTTAAAAGCATGATATATATGTTTGATACACTGTCACGATTAATTATTAATTTTTTTAATACTTTAATGTATTCTATTAATATTTAGGATTGTTTCAGAGTATATACATTGGATAAACATTACATATCTATTAACATACTTAAAAACAATTATAAAATACTTTGCAATATAATAACTTAACTATTGTTACTTTAAAACAAATATATTTTAGTTGAAACAATTCCATATAAATTAAAATAATGCATAAATCATAATGTTATAATCTTAAATTCTATTTGTTTCGAATATTATGTTCGTTATACGTATGCAACCTTCGAAAATTCATATAAACAATATTAAATAAAAGAACTTTTAATTATTTTTAATTTAATTAAGAATTTTTAATAATTTTTTCATTTAATTAACAATTATATTAATACTTTAATGCATTCTATAAATATTTAGGAATGTTTCAAACTACATCACATTGTATTAAACATTACAATTCATATTTCTTGCTTTTAGAAAACAATATACATTTCTTTCAATTAATTAA